AAGTTTTACCCTCCTATCCTATTATATGGACCCCACCTCCCCAGTAAAGCATGCGTATGCATAGGATGGGAGCTTTCTAAATCTCTTGTACCTAGGTAATTGTTGGTTTCTTGTTTTTTTTTTGTGGTTGCACAGACTAATGAAATATTTATTTTAATAGAAGGGTGTGATTATCACTATCTTCTGAAAAAGACTGGAATTTTCATTTCCCTATGTTAGGGCAATTCCTTGGGTTTGTTACTGTTATCAGAGCTCTAGAGAACTTTGTCTATGCATGGTCAGGAATTGTGCTCTCAGATCACCCAGGATTTTGAAACTCTCATCCATAGTGTTTCTGCCAGTTAAGGTTCAGAGGCTGAGTTCTCCTGACAGGATCAATAGTGAGAAGGTTTCCTCTTGAAGGAGGATACAGCAAAGCAAAGAACTTAAAACCTTTGTTTCGGTGGTGATTGTGAAGCGTGGAGTTGGTTGGACCAAGTCAGTGATAGGCTATTTCACAGAATCACAGAATCACAGAATGTTAGGGGTTGGAAGGGACCTCTGAAGATCATCTAGTCCAACCTTCATCCCAGCACACCCAACCACTACACCATAGCCTCAAGTGCTAGATCTACTTTTTTTTTAAACACCTCCAGGGTTGGTGACTCCACCACCTCCCTGGGCAGCCTGTTCCAGTGCCTCACCACTCGTTCAGTAAAGAACTTCCCCCGAATATCCAATCTAAACTTACCCTGACGCAACTTGAGGCCATTTCCCCTTGTCCTGTCATTAGTAATTAGAGAGAAGAGACCAGCACCAGCCTCACTACAGCCTCCTTTTAGGTAGTTGTAGAGGGCAATAAGGTCTCCTCTCAGCCTCCTCTTCTCCAGACTAAACAAACCCAGCTCCCTCAGCCGCTCTTCATAGGTCATGTTTTCCAGACCTCTCACAAGCCTTGTTGCCCTTCTCTGCACCCGCTCCAGCACCTCGATGTCCTTCTTATACTGTAGTGACCAAATCGTTTACCTAAGCGGCAAGTTGTTGTGTTTATAGAAAGGCAATCTATATCTAATGTATTAAGGCTGGCACTGCATGCTGTAATGTACAGAATTTTATGGTAGCTTCCAGGCTTTCCATTCTGCAGTCCAGAGATAGACCATTTTAAATGTCTCCCAAAGATCTCACTGAAATGCCTCCAGAAAGTCAGATCCTTTCTCAATCTAGAGTGAGAATGTAAAAAATGGGAACTCAGTATTTCCTGCAGAGGCCCATCTGGACTAGCACAGCAACTCTCTGTTGGTTCAGGATAATTGAATGGTTTCCTGACTTGCCCTCAGAAAGGAATCTTTACTTGGATAATCCCTTCATTTACTTGGGTTGCATTTCAATTTGCCATCCATTTGATTTTCATGTTCTATTTCTTGATTTTGTGCCTGTGGTGGGTTGACCCTTGCTGGATGCCAAATGCCCACCAAAGCTGCTCTTTTACTCTACTCCTCAGCTGGACAGTGGGGAGAAAATATAATGAAAAGCTCATGGGTTGACATAAGGACAGGGAGATAAATCACAAATTACTGTCATGGCCATAACGGACCTGATTGGGGGAAATTAATTTATTATTAGTCGAATCAGAGCAGGGTAATGAGAAATAAAACCAAATCTTAAAATGCCTTTCACCCACTCCTCTCTTCTTCCCAGGCTTGACTCCAAGTGTTCTCTACCTCCTCCCTGCCAGCAGTGCAGGGGGACAGGAAATGGGGGTTGTGGTCAGTTGATTACATTGTCTCTGCTGCTCCTTCCTCCTCATGCGGAGGACTCCTCACACTCTTCCTGTGGTTCCTCCCACGGGAAACAGTCTTCCATGAACTTCTCCAAAGTGAGTCCTTCCCATGGGCTGTAGTTCTTAGACAGGGCTTCTGGGGTGTGTAAGGGATTGGAGCTAAGCACAGATCCAAGAGATTTTCTATATCCAATATTTAACTATTTACAGTGACATTATGTGAGAACAACCAGTTTTCAGTGATATGTTGCCGGTGGAGTATGTTAGAAATACCATTTCCAGTTTCTGTGCTCTGAATGCTTGGAAGGTGATTTCCAGAGAATTAACAAAAAATCTGCCCATATTTTTGGGGCTTGTTTTGCAGTCCTATATTGTAATATCTTACAACGTTATCTATTTGGTCTTTATGTGTACATTGTAATACTTGTGAGGAAACTGGGTTTATTTATAAACTTAAACAAAATCCAATACTTCAGAAATTTTATCAGTGGCAAGAAGGAGAATGTCCAGTAGACTTTTAAACTGTTGCACATTTTTTACCATTTGAAAGAGTATAGATAATTTTATTCTGGAATAACCACTGTAATGGGACGCGAGTAGTGGATTGTATAGCAACAGATCTTATTTGGTCACTTAGATGACAGCTGAAGTAAGGGGGAAAGGATGTATTATGCAAACTTATCGATGGGACAAAGTTCCTACAAAAGAAAGGGAGATGACTGGAATGTGAGAAGGAACCTGAGTGCTATCTGTCTGTTTTACCAGTGTCAATTGTTGTTAATGCACAGAAGGGAAGAATAATGCGATGACTGTTGAAAAAAGGTGACAGTACAGGTGAGCAAGAGCATTAAATGGTGCCTCTGTGAATTACACTTAATTTTCTGATCTGCTCTTGGGACCATTCTTCTATAGTTGCAGTTGGAATGGTTGAATGGTGTTTCTGTTCTTCAGCAGCACCACCTCTAAGCTACTGGTCTAATGTAAGCAGAGGGCGGAAGGGAAGCAAAGCATGTCGTGGTTCCAGTGCAGACCTGGTTTGCAACCCCTGTCCCAGCCTCTGAGCTTTTGCTCCCCAGGCACTGCTTGAGAGCTTTATGATGGGAGCGTGTTACTTGAGCAAAGCCAGGTTGTCCAAGGATCTGCATATAGAAGGTAAAACTCACCTCTTCTCAATGACTCTAGTGCCAGCTTCTCCATAGCACAGAGTATTGTTCTGGACAGTGAACACTGATGTCTTCCACCTGCTTAGCTTTGCAAGCCTTCAAGTAACATGGTAACAAGTAACATTTGGTCAGGTATTATCAACTCTTTAGTACATGCACTCCTGTCCTGATTTTACTTTATGGTTTCAATTTAGCAGTCCTGAAAGCTGCATTACTATTCCTGGGTCATTGACAAATTGTCCAAATTGCACACCTGTGTGTACTTCTGCACTTCCAAAAGAGTGACTCAGGCTTCTCTTTCAAACAGTACAATTAGTATTTCTTTCAGGAAATACCAGTTTCCTCTGGTGCTTACTGCAGTCCTCGGCGTCTTTTGTTTGCAGATGCAGAAAAATAAATAAAAGGGATTGACACGCTTCTATGCAGCAAGAAAAACTGTGAAACCTAGGAGGGATTCTTTGCTGTATCAACCACAGGCTGGCAAATCCATCAGCTATGAACTGGCATATAGCTGTGACAGCTTCAGATAAATCCAGGCCAGCAATATTGCAAGTGACTGATTAATTGCAAGTTACTGCAATTAACTGGATTTTGGGACCAGCATTCTAGCCATGATGGGAATACTGGAGATATCAAGTGAATTATTTTTTTTATTATTTTTGATTATTTTTTCAGCTCCCATTTCTTTATTTCCTTGAGCAAAACAGCTAAGCACAACTGATAGACATGGTTGTCACTCTTCTCACTACTGAAGGTACCAGAACCTTGAATAACATGAGGTGTTGTCTTTTGCTGCTTTGGCACTTTGTGGAGAGACTTGCTGTTGCATGAAGAAGGGAAAACAGATTTCTGCCCACTTTCTCTCCCTTTTCCTTGTGCTGTGAGCTTTGTCACGTTTCTGTGATAAGGGTGAAGGGAAGAGGAGCCAAAGGCACAGTAGCTGCAGTGCAGGGCAATACTTGGGAATGGTATCATCAGAGAGGTGCAAAACATGATTTTTTGATGTGTAACAAATGATTGTCTAGTCCTGCCTGTATTTAGACCACTATTGCTGTTGTTGAGTATATGTACCTTATCTGCCTTTAAATCTTTGTCTTTTGAAGGGCAATATTCGCATATTATATCTAGAATATAAAATACTTTATGTATTTTAAGTGTAGGGCTGAAGGTTCAAAAGTCTATTCTACAGATACCCTTCTAGAAGGAGGTTCAGGAGATGTTGTGCTTGCTCTTAAATGCAGACAAGAAAGACAGAGCTTGGGTCCCACTCCTAGAAGTTAGTAAGATATTAAACTGCTGTATTTCCCATCTGTACTTCCTTATCTGTGCTTCAGTTTCTCATCCAGCCTAATAAGTACTAATCTGGCTTAAGTATATCCTAGAATCATATATTTCAGAAAGACATCAGACTTGTATCAAGACATCAAGTGACGGAGAATTCACCACTTGTCTTAATTAATGAAAAAGAGTAGTTAACGAAAAAATTATTTATTCATTGGTTGAGTTGCATCTGGAGAATTTATTGCCTGTGGTTAATGTGAAAAAGCACTGCTTTTATTTCTAAAAGAGCAGCAATGTGGTAGCTTGGTTTGGTAAATAATGCTTTTTAATAGCATCTACTCTAGAAGACAGACTAGAGTTCCTAGTATACGGTAGTTACTTTTCTGGAGATACAGAACAGAAGTAAACAATTATGGCTGGTAAGTTGCATCTAGAATGTTTTTATATCATCAGCGGAATAGGTAAACATCAGAGAATTTTGCTTAGAGCATGAGCCTGGAAAGAAATCTCTGACTCTAAGCCAGGAGTCCTTTGCCTCATGTTATTAAGTTTACACAGGTACCACATCACATGGAGTGTTCACCCTGGTATTTCAGCGACAGGTAAAAGGAACTCCTCTTTATTGCTTTCTGTGCTATTAAATCTGTTGTCGTAAGCATGCGATATCTGTGTTTCCAGATCAACCTACTGGTTATATTTGTGAGTATTACTCTGATAGTGCTTGATTACAAAGTTTCCATTGCTTCAGCTGAAGTGTTTATTTTTAGAATAACTAGTATTTTTTTGTCACTTTGCAGAGTACAGATGCCAATTCAAATGTGAGGAAAAGAACCAATGCCACAGTACAGTCCGAAGCTGATGGTGGGAGCCGAATTGACACAAGGCACAGCTCCATCCAGCCTCCCTCTGTAGCTCAGGGGTCTTCTGACATTACCCCCCGCTCCCTTTCTGCATCGAGTCCCAACCCTTTCACACGCATCAATGCATCAGAGACCTTATCTTCTGCAAGAGCTACCCCTCCAGCTCCTCCTTCTACCCCAATTTTAACTGGATTTGTATCCCAGCATGCCACAGCTGGATCCCCTTCCATTCAGCACTTGCTTGGATCTAGACTGGAGCAGATTCAGACCACCACACCGAATACGTTAGGAGCATCTGCAAAGCCATCTGCTGTCACACCACCTGCTCCCCCTGCCTCCCACTCTGGCACGAGTAAGATAGACAAATATGCACGCATTTTATTTCCTGTTACCTTCGGAGCATTTAACATGGTCTACTGGGTGGTGTATCTATCCAAGGATACCATGGAAAAATCGGAAAGTCTAATGTAGTTTTGCTGCTATGTAGTAGTTCCTAAATTATACTCACATTTGATGGAGAGTTTCTTCTTTTGAAACTATTTAAAAAGGTCAATAATTCTTACTTATAAAAGCTGTGTGCTACTTTCCCATTGTAAAGGCTGGAGTTATTGGGGATAATTAGTAAACTCCTATCAGAGTCATGGGTAACAGATTTGTCTTCCTCCCTTCAGCTAGCAGTGAACCATCACTCTCTTCAGACAGAGTACTCTGGCTAAACAGCACTTGCCTTTGGGAGGAACATGCACCAAAACAAGTCAAAGGCAGAGGTGCACAGCTGTGCAGTGGAACACATCTTGACTGCTAGGAATAGGCATGTTGATTATTACGAATCCCTGAGGCACCCAGCACTGTTGTCCGGACACAGCGTTGCATTCTTGGAGTGCAAGGTCCATGTCCTGAATCTTTTGACAGTGCGTGCTAGAAAGGGATTTCCCTGATAGATTAAAATGGGTGGCATGGGAGGGGAAGAAAATGAACAGCAGAAAAAAGAAAAAGAGGGTCCAGCCTGGGAGAGTGCAACTCCAGAAAAGTTATGCAAAGGAGTTGTAGAGCTCCATATATTTTTACTAAGCGTTATTTTGTGTTGCAACCTGGGAAATTCTCACTCCAGAATAAGAATGAGTGAAAATCTGAAATTTGATGTAATTCTCAGAATTGGAGTTTTTTGTTTGGTAAGGTGATCTTAAGCATGTGATTCTGCTTAGACCTTGCTGACCAGCTTGAGTGGATTTATTCTTAAATTACATCTGTTGTGGTAGATGAGCACCAGGCCCACAATGTTCAACTTTTTATTTTAATTCTTTGTTCTTTCTTCGATGATTTGTGGTTTATGTTTTTTTTCCTTTTTTCTGGACTCCATATTTTTCACTCACACTCCTCTGATTTCCTTTGAACTCATATTCCCGTCACCTTTATAAAATGTTTGAGTCATGTTAAATTTTTAAAAGTGACTTCCAAATTAAGCAAAACAAATTTTCCTGTGCTTTGATGAGCGTGGCTATGGCACATCTTTTGAGCGAATGAAACAAACCCTTTTGTTTAGGAATGCTGTGACATAAATAGGAAGAAATTTTTTCTAGGTGGAGCCTGGGGACAAAAAGTTTATTTATGGTCTGTTTATTTCTCAAACTATGGCACAGATAGGTGTTTTTCCTAGCAGCTCAAATTGCAGTATGCAAGCAGGCAACTTTAATAAAGAATTGAATAGCTTAAACCTGATAGAAATCTTGATCAGAAATGTTCTTTTCACCAGGATGAGTGGATGATATGCTGGCAATAAATTGAGAAATGTTTGTACAGATCCATCTGGCTAGGCAAATGGTTAGGATTTCTGTGCAGGTGACAAATAAAAATCAAAGGCCAAATTCTCAGCTGTGATCTGGCTGTACCTTGAAGGGCCTGGACTAATCCTTAGCTTCAGTTGAGTGAAATAAATTGGTAGCCTATTGTCAAAGTTTTATGTTGGGGAGTAGATAAGGTGAGTATTGAGTGGTTCTGTGCCCAGGTGATGATCAGGTGACTGATGGAGACCACAAGTGGCTAGCATAATTAAGGATATGCATGAAACTACCATAGACTATGTTGGGACAAGAATCGGAGTAAAAAGACCCCATAGTGGTGAAGCTATGACCATATCTCTGTGCCTCTTTCTGTGTCTCCAAACTGTTTAGCCAGTTCATGGCTGAGAATCTGACCTTAACTTACAAGTCCTGGGAGACTGCAAGAGATGCCCCCCTACAGTGTGTAGTGTGGATCCCAGGCTACAATTTCATGCATAGCATTGGAATGTACAAGATGTATACAAGACTTTAATACGATGTAGTGATATAAATGGTTACTCTTGGGTTTGTTTTTTATTTGTTTTTTTAATGATTATCATTTATTTTGTTTTGCTTTCTTTTTTTTCCTCAAGTGTTGCTCTCAAAAGGCCAGATACGGCCCTTTCCTTTTTGTCTTTCACGTGACAGCATTCTGTAGAAAACCATCGCACCATATCACCATATCACAGAACTGGAACCATGCAAAATGTCTAAATGCAGTCGTTTGCTTCTTCGGATGTATCTCTAGTTGCTGTAGCTGTTTCTTCCCTAATTTCATCACATTACTGCAGATTGTCAGAATAGAAGATTGTTTATTTATTTTGTTAAGCCAGAAGAAACAAAGCTAATCCTCTGGCAATTATTGATCGTAATTGTACAAATGATAAAATATTTCTAGTATGAAGAACGATGGCCTTCTATGTTGAGAACATAATGTTTGTGCCAAAAGCTACTGAAATTACTCTTTGCTTTCCTCTATGATGAAAACCAAGGATGTTTTCTCTCAGGCAGAGCTCCAAACGATTCACTAGAAACAGCTGTCTTTTCCTTCCACCCATTCCCATATACTGATTGTATAATCAGCTTTTTCAGTGCATTGTTCAGTAGGATCAACACTGGTTCAGGCTATTTGACCAAGATCAATCTAAATATGCTACTTGGATTCATTTGTAGTTCCTGTTTAATTTTAAAGATTAGAGGAAACAAGAATTAAAAAAAAAATAGATTCAGAGTATTTATTTCTATGCTTCCATTTTGGAAGAAAATTTTAATGATACCACAGAAAAAAAAATATCTATTTTTAATCTGTCAGCGTATTTCTGAAGTACCTTGCCATATTTGCATGCCTATGTCCATAATCAGATATTAAAAAAATTTTAAAAAATCTCATTATGAGTCTAGGACTAATTTATTATACTATGCTACATTTTTCTGTTACAGCATATGAAGGAATTACCATAACTAGCTTTCCAAAATACCTACAGACAACATAAATAGGAATTTATTGTTAACAGAAGTTCATTATATTTGAACTCCTTGTAGAGTGATTAGAAACGGTAAAGAGCCTGCAGTGCACTCAGTAACACTGGCAGGTTCTGAATACTATGTAATTCAGAAGCACAAACAAAAGCAGGAGTATGCTAAATATAGCAGCCCAAATGTTCAACACTGCTAACTAAAATCCTAAGGGAGAATGTTGCAGGTGTCATTTCAGTGACCAAATCACTTATTAGGGGTGGGTTTGAGTGAGATAGCTGTTTTTATTTTATTTTTTTCTATTGGCTTTGCTGAGCAGTCTTTTTTTTTTTTTTGACAATACCATAGTGATTTAAAACTAACCAAACAGTTCAGATAAGTCATCTCTATCAACAGGAAAGGAAACAGGATAGAAAGCCGAAAAACCTTACCAGGAAACAGAGATGAATCTCCACTGACTGCTGTTTCCTCGGAGACATTGTTACCAACAGCAAAACTCCCACAGATTGCAGTGATGCAGCCCCAAGCACTAACACAGTCATTTGAGAAAACCAGTTAAAAAGTCAGCTCAGGAAGATTTGTCTTCACAGGAACTGAAGTGTGTTTTATAGTCAGTTATGAACAAGGCCAAAGTTCTATCAGCTCGCTATTAACAGGTTTAACTGCGAATGGCAAAATAATGAAGCCAGGCAAGGTGACAAACCTAGACCCCAGCCCTCTGTGGTAGCGTGAGCTCTTAGAGATCACCAGAAAAACTGGAGTCTTTTTCTCCTCATATAAAATGGTCTCGTCTCTGCCAAATTGATGTTGGTGGTACATTTCTTCTCCCACATGTCTTTTAAAGGAAAAAAAAAACGTACACATAAGTTGGTCAGTCATCCACTCTACCCTGTGATCAGGCAAGTAGATCATGTGATAATTGAGTGAAAGAGGGAAATAATTAAAGAAAGGAGCATGATTAGAGCTTTTCTGTTCATGAGAGCTAAAAGTTATTGATTGCAGAGGCTACACTTTAAGTGTAGTCTTTGGCATCATGGTTTTAATCATTCGGGGTGGACCTTGCAAAAAATTCGGGAAATCAAATAACTGTTTAATAGGATTTAACCAGTACTTCTACAGAAAAGTGAATGAACTTTTCAATATGCACAGAATTCTGTCTCCTACTTTCTTGTGTATCTTATGCTGTAATACAGTGTCTGTGTGCCATGTGAGAACATCAGAATGTACAGTATGTATTTATCGAGTTTATCCAAAGCCTAACATTGGCATCTGCCTTGTGCTGTTGCAAGTGGAAGGCAGGCCAGAACAGAGGAAAAGACCACACGGGTTGTTTAAGAGATGGGGCTCAGAGCAACCTGATCTAGTTAAAGATGTCCCTGCTCACTGTTGGACCTTTAATGGTCCCTTCCAGCCCAACACAGTCCATGATTCTTGGATTTTCCCATAGATCCTATAGGAGATTTCCTATGAGAGTTTTTCTAAATGTGAGAAGTTGGAGCACAGTTTCTGCTGTAGAATGCTCTCCCTCCAAATGCCAAAATCTTCCAAGGGTTCTAGTTAGAAAGCAGAGTAGATCCCAGACTTGATACACTGGACTCCAGAGCTTTTGCTTGACCCAAAAGATACAGGAGGGAGGAAATTATGACAAGATTTTTCCAGATCTTCCTGGAACTTGCCAATAGGGCTTGACTGCACTAAAATAGATGGGTGTTGTGTAGCTAGCACTGTTGCGAATTGCAATACAGACAGCTGACAAAAATTTGCCCTTGCTTTTATTTAATCTTAATATTGATTAACAGATTAAGAGAATGGCAACTGTAGTGCTGAGAAGCCTAGGTTGAAGTAGAATATTTATGGATGATATGGCTAAAACCATGGATGATCAAAATTGTCAAAGTATTACAGAACTTAAGAACTATGCAACATTAAGTTTGCACAGGTCAGTGAGAGGAAGTGAAGAAGAATAGGAGATGCTTCTCATAGTCTTGACAAGCATAAAGCAATACTGCATAAAGTGGGGGAGCAAAATTTATTACTTGGTAAAAATCTAAAGGGTGCATAGACTTATGGAGGTCAGCATTAACCATCCCACCAGCATTTCCCAACTCCCCCAAAATAGCAAAAAATAAATCAGTTAAGTGACAATAGCGTCTGTTCTCCCGAAATATTTGTTTA